GGATGGATTGTCATCTTAATAACAGCTTTTGGTTCTCTTACAGATTTGGTTCTTATCGCTCCCTCCTGGTTTTTTGAGCTGCACTTTCAAGCTGAGTATTTTGTCACCCCGATGAAAACAGATTTTCCCATGATGACAAAACCAGGCAGGCTCCTTCCCAATCCCACACCTAAAAAAAAAAAATAAAGAGGCGGGGAATAGAAAACTTGTTGCAGAAGTGCCCGTTGGTGAAAACAGGCTGTTTCCCACCACAGTCGCCAGCTTTAACGTACAGCCGTGGGAAACGCAGAAGTCACTCAGCTTCACGACAAAGGCAATTCTTGACAATGCTCCTGGGGCTTCCCAGGAGGGTTGTTTCCAAATAGGACAGACCATTTGGGGAAAAAAAAACCACCCACAAAGGGCTGGAGGGGGCTTTCGTTCATTACTCTTTCCCCATTTCTGCCCGCCACAGCATTCGCCCGCAAAGCCACGCTGTACCAGCAGATTCCCCATCCCCGCCCGCAGCCCAAAAACTTCTCTGGTTGCCTTTTCCCCACCCCGGCCTGGTTTATCTTGTGCTTCGACACGGAGAAGTAGGTAAGAGATTAAATAAGCGATTGCTTTAATGCCTTCTTTTTTTTTTTTCCCCCTCCTTTTCTCATCCAGGCTGCAGAAAAGCCTGGGCCAGCGCAGCCTGATGAGGGCTCCTGCCAGCGGTCAGCAGCTTGCAGGTCAGGCTCACCTGTCAGCGCAGCCACGGCTCCAACCGCAGCAGACACCACCTGCCCCCCGAAACTGCCCGGCAGTACAGAAGAGCAAACGTTAGGTGTGAAAAGGGCTACACAAAGGGACTTCCCTGGAGCACGCAGGCACAGCCTGCTTTCCTTCTGGTGGCTCTGGACGCTGAGAAGCGACAGGGTGGCTGCAGGCTGTCCACGGGTGTACGAACACAGCCGCACGCAGCCCCCCTTCCCTCTCTACTGCCCACGGGCAAAGCTTTGGCTACAACGCTCCTCGGGAGCCTGGGAATCTGTAAGTTTTGTGTTTATTTCCCCCCTCCCCGCCCTTAATTTTGCAGTACCTGCATCCTGGGAGGACAGCGGGGAGGCTGGAGGACAGCAGGAGCGTCTTTAAGACAGCCTCCCCACCCTGAAGGGGCAGCACCGCTTCTGCTGGCACAGGCCGAGCTCATGGCTGTGCACGGTGGGGTGACCCAACCAAGACTTCACCTTCGAGGCCTCTTGTTGCACCTGCCTCACGTCTGCTATTAGGATATATCTGTTCAGGTAGTTTAAACATTTGGCCAGGAACCAGGTACTTCCTCAGTAAAGTGTGATGAGGCATCCAGAATGGCTTAAGAAGCGCACAGGAGGACGCTAAGCCCCCAACGAGGCTCGAGGCGTGCAACAGCCAGCCCAAAGCAGCCTCTGCTTCCCACCTTCCCTGCCCCCCTGGATTTGCTGTTGATTTCTCGGGCACCGAGGACCAGTAAGAAGGCGACACCAAATCTTGGGGTTTTTTTTTTTTTTTGCTGCCCAGTCAACAGCTGGGGACTCAGCGGGGGACAACAGCAACTACTGTCCCAGAAGAGCAACCCAACACCTCATGACAGGCTTGGAGCACCTCCTAGTGCAGAAACAACCCCCGCCGCCCAAGGAGACGGGGCACGTGCCACTTCGTTGCGCGATGCCACGGCCTCCAGGTCACCAAGGATGCTAGCACTCCAAAGGATAATACTGTGCTTTAATGTTTTAGAGACAATGGACTTTTACGCGGTACAACAGCAGGCTGTATGTACTATACATATATACACACCGGTTGTAGTTAAAGCTTGTGTATTTGAACAATACCAATGTTCCAAAAAAAAAATAAAAAAATAAATGCACCAAGTCTTACAACAACAAAAATGTGAACAAAATCCAAGGCCACAAGTATAGAGAGGTATGTTTTAAGGACTACGGGTCACATGGAAATAGAAAACAGTGGTGGCGCAATGCAAACTTTATCCTGAATAGAGATAAGTGGTTAAAATGCAACTTTTCATTACCTCAGGAGCAAGACAGTGTTTTACAGAGACTTAATTTCCAAACTAAAGCAAGGAAGAGAAACAAATGTACTAGTGCGTGCCCCTTTGGTCCTCAAATTCTCCTTCCAGTCGTTGAGCTAAAAAGAGAAGGAGCTTTACTCTGAACTTCAGGCAAGAAAGATTTAAGGCTTTTCAGCTGGGTACATATACTGAACCGGAAAGCAGCAATACCTGCTCTCAATCATTTAAGGAAAACAAATGCCATAGAGTTAGTGTATTTTAGAAATGTGCAATACATACCTTGTTTACACTAGCAGACAAACACTCTTTAGCACCTAACTCTACAGAATCCAGGACAGAGGATATCGTAAAAGATTCTTCCAATAATGCTGTGAAGGTCATCAAGGTAAAATTAGTATAATTAAACGCATGAGGTTGTCGCTCTTGAAAGTTCTTTAGGCCCAATGGAAATTTGACCAGACACGATTTTCATTTCGTTTCCAACAGGGGTTGAAGCAAGAGACAGGAATGTTGGTTAAGATCGAGCTTGCCAGACCAGGAACTGCCTTTTAGGTTAGCGTACAGAACATCTTGGAGTCATATTCGGCGAAGCAGATACGACTGTGGGAACCTGCATTGTGGGCATCCGACACCCTGGCTGACATTTTATTTTGTAAGTTTTGTCTCCCGTGCTTAGTTTGAGAAGGGTGGTTTTCATTTGCGCCTCATGTTTTCCCAATTAAGAGTTACAAAACACCCATTAAAATTGTAACAAAGTATAAGAAGTTCAGCCAAGTCCAGCTGACTGAAACTTTTTGTACCAATACTGCCACATACAGCGGTTGCCCCATACGCAGAAAAAAGTGGTTGAATTCATTTTGATGGCCCTGGAAATGCTTTTCTCAATTGCTCTTACGAAATAAGTTCTTGTCATTTCAGGTTACTTTGCCCCGAAACGACCTGCCGCCAGGCAGGAGAGGTACAGTGTGCTGCGTTCAGGATTTCAGTGCTCACCTTTGGTCCAACATTTTATGAGACGCAGATCTTGAAATACTTGAAGAGAAATCTTCGTTTTCAGATTATCAGACTAGATTGAGCTTCTCAGTCTAACCCATGGAAATCCAAGAAGGAAAGCTCAAGATATAAACATCATTAAAAACCTCTTTGGCTACCTTAGCACTTTGCAGACAGGCTCTGGGGTTTTTTTTCCTCCCCTCTGTTAAAGTTTGCTTAAAAATAGTAAGAAACTGACAGTTAAAGTGGTCAGACATTCCGAGGCACAGAGAAGAAGGTGCATAAAACCCTTTATACTGAGATAAGACTGTGCCCCCAATAATTTAGAAGTTAATTCCCTGCACGTTAAGAGGCTAAGAAAAGTGTGTGTGTGTGAGAGAAATTTAAAACAAAAAAACCACACAAAAAAGGAGGGTTAATACTAGCAAGAATATAAAACACCACCAGAGGTAACATCTCAAAGAGGTATAACGTACATATCCAGATATTGAAACAGCCACTGCAGGACTTGTAATAAAATATAGCCAGAGATAATTGAGGACCACCCTTTCCAGCAGAGGTACAGTATTTGCCGCGTAAGTGGTCTTACAAGGATCCACAGCCTTTCAGTTGTTTCCTGTGCTGCTCCATATTTATTCTAACAAACGTAACTATTTCATAAATATCCATTTCACCCCCAAGCCCCACTCTTCTCCTAACAGCAGCATATTCTGCATTGCAGATGGAAAAACATTTCCAAAACCCTGTTCGTAGCTTGTAATTCTGTGACATCAGCATCATTGGAAATCCAGGAGAAGCCTACCTTATTGTTACATTTTTCATTCGCCATCAGAAGTCTTTTACTGCACAAAGACTATGACAACAATTCACAACAATTTAGTTTAAAAGTGAGATGTAGGAACAAGTAAGAACAGACAGTGACACTGAACAGAACAATCTCCAGAGTGCGTTTAGAGGATAACACAGTTTTAGCTCCTGATGAGTGTCAAGAATTCTTCACGGGTCTTTGGATCTTCCCGAAATACCCCCAACATTGTGCTGGTTACTGTCTTACTGTTCATTTTCTGTACCCCACGCATTACCATACACATATGCCTAGAAGAAATGAGAGAGAGGAGTCAGTAAGTCAGGCATACTCAAAAGAAAGAAGTAATCCCACGAAGAGAGAGGCTTCTTACACGGTCACGTTAAATTCTGGGGAAGTGACAAAACCTCCACATCCAGAATGGACATCTGTCAGTAGTACCTCAGCTGTCCTCTGGAGAAAAGAGTCAAGTTCCCAGCCCCCCGCCTTCTCTCCTCTGATCCTAGCAAAAGCCCACCTTTCCAAGGTGCATTCTGATCACGGGGACGTGCCCGTTGCTAGTCCCAAGCAACTTGAGGAAGTAGAAGATGCAGTGAGGCAGAGCATGGCCCCGGCGCAACTGGGACCGCTGACCACACTGCCAGCTGCCACATCTCTGCAGCGGATAAGGTAGGCCCCCGTTTTAAACGGCTCCAACCCACCAGGCCGTTTCGCTGAACGGGAGAGGATCACTCCCTGCCTCATAAACAAGCACGGCACACAGCTACCGCTGCCAAAGAGGCAACACACAACAGCTCTACAGCACACAGCTGGAATCACGCGCGGCCCGTACGCCACCACAGAACAGCTCAGAGTAACTTACGTAGCTTCAATAACCACTCCAACTCCAGCGGGCTGTAAGGCTTCTGTGATGGCTATTGCAATTTGTTTGGTAAGGCGTTCCTGGACTGAAAGAACAACAGGGAGTTCAGACGCAGTGTTAAATTGGACTAGCATCAACACCACCACTATCTGCATAGCAACATTGCATCCTCACTTCCAAGTGTGCCTGTTCCCCACCCCCCACACACACGTACTGCTCTTCCTAAATAAATTTTAGTAGTACCAAATCTTATCTTATGTTTTGTACCCTGGAACAGACCTTTTATTGGCTTGTTTATGTTGGGAGTTGTTTTGCATTACACCTTTGCAGGAATTGCATTGCCATGACTTGTTATAACAGCTCTTAAGTTTCCTATTACACAGGTACATTTTCTTGCTCCTCTATTTTCTTTCAGTTTTTATGTATTTGTTCACTGGCTTTACTGCTGCACTAAATGCAGATAAAAAATGAGCAAATTAAGAGAGTCTATTGTCCTGCAAAGCTTTACTTCCTGCAGCTCTAGCACCCTCTATTCACCAGTCTGACATCTAATGGTCACTAACACTTCTGTCCCCAAGAACAGGCCAAATTTAACTGCAGGACAGTGACAGCAGGCTGAGCCCAACCCAAGGCCTCAGATCCTACAGCTTCCTCCGCTTCTCAGAGGCAGCGGGCAGGCAGTCCATAACATGGCAGCTCCCGCTCCATCTCTTCAGACAAGAATTCTTGAAGGCATCTCTCAAATTATCTGTAGGAGAGTTCATCTCCAGCAGCATCCAACTAGTTTAGTTATTCCTGGCAGCTGTATCTTGTAGCACATTTATCCTCTGAATCAGTTACTGCCTACATCTATTTTCATAGGCAGATTTTACTCCTCACTGGAAACGTGATATTTCCATGACAGAGGATGACAGCTGAGAAACTCCTGTTCGAGAACACAGTGCTTTTCTTCACACTAAAATTTGCACAGCTGTAGTCCACCTACAATTACCAGTACCCTGAGCTAGCTAGCAAAGGACTGCACACAACAAAACCAAAAATTCATCTGTTTACCTTGTAATCTTCTACTGTATATTTCCACGATCCTAAAGGAGAAAGGAAAAAGACAATGTTATTCCTATCTAACCGTTGTCTGATCTTCACAATTAACAGCTGTAGTCCACCTACAATTACCAGTACCCTGAGCTAGCTAGCAAAGGACTGCACACAACAAAACCAAAAATTCATCTGTTTACCTTGTAATCTTCTACTGTATATTTCCACGATCCTAAAGGAGAAAGGAAAAAGACAATGTTATACTTATTCCTATCTAACCGTTGTCTGATCGTCACAATTAACTTGACACGATCAAACAAGATCACTGTACGGATCTGTGTCCTTCCTGGAAATCTACACGACATCATGCTGCTGCTCAGCCCCTGGCTGGCACGGCTCAAGGACCTCCCTTAGCACATCACTGTGTTTAGTGACAGGTACCCCCTACCTGCCACCCCAGAGACTGTTTCAGGGGCAAACCTGTCACTTCTCCTTAGAGCTTCTTCTGCTGGCTGTTACTTTTGAATTACTTGCAACTGTGTGATGCAGGTGGGTGGTGGTACAAGGGAATCCATGCCCAAAGACTCCCTGAAAGCTAATCCTTGAACTGAGATCAGACTAACTCCTTCTGCTTCAATCTAAACCAAATGCTGTTTTAAGGACAATTCGGAATTGGGATTCCCAGAAGGCTACTGAAATTAAGCAGGAGATGTTTTGGATTCTTGCATTTAACCGCAGATTTAACTAAGAACAACGAGACAGAGTTGTTTTTATTTAAAACAGATACTCGCCACCCATATATCACACCATCCCTCACATTTCAGTGCAGCGTTTACCTTAGTGCTCCTCTCAAACGTGACTTCAAGTTTAAGCCATTTGTGGGGCAATGCAAGTGATACTACCATCATTTGTAACCGCAGTACATTTAAGAAAAATGTAACTCACACATTTAAGAAAAATCTTGTAACTGCTCTGTAACTCAATGGGTTACTCATGCCAACCGCAAATCCTTAATAACACGTCAAGTGGCCACGTAAAGAAGTTGCTACAGAAAGCTTCAATACCTGTCTGGTCAGGCTAGACAAAAAACAGACACTGGCTGGCAGCCTGAGGCTTTAGTTACAAGAAACATTTCTGACAATGAGGCTTGCGTGCTGTTTTGGAGAGAGAATTATATGCAGAAACTCCCCTCCAGAAATGAAATAGTTGTGTTATAGCTATTCTAAACAAAGCAACATAATATTTAGATTAAATATATGGAGAGGAAACAAGCTGATGCTGAGATATTTTTACACTGGTATTGCATATAAGAAGTCCTATAAGCATGTTTATGTAAAAACAGTTATTTGCATTAGCATTTTCAAGCCTGAGCTTAAAATCCAAAGAAAGATGTTTGTTTACTGAATACAGGTCATCCACAACTACAGAAACTCACCACATTAGACTAATCCTATTACGAAAGATTAGGTCTACAGTACCAACAGCCTCACAAATCTTTGTTTGAACACTGGTTGCATTATATAGGGCACGAAAGGGAAACACCTATTTGGCCCACCAATCTCTTCATGGTAAGCACTCAAAAACAAGTGAGGACTGAGAACATTTTGTTATACAAAAATCTAATCTTTTCATTATTGCAGTATATGGGAGTTTTACCCTAGCTTGAAAAAAAGAGGCAAAATTTAACCTTTCAAGCACAGCACAGGAAGCCCTGCACATATCCATGCATGTTTCTATACTGAGAATAAGTAGTAGGAAAATTGTACACTTCTAGCACCATGTTGCCACTTGCATTAAAAAAAAAAAAAAATCACCAAAGCCAGTTTCGAGCTCTTTTTTACATCTGCAATTCAGAGGTAACTAGAGACCAGAGCAAGCATGAATCAACTGATGCATATTTCAAATGCGATCCTTAATCCTGCATTCAAGCCCTGCAGAAATGAAACGAAGTCCTAAAGACAGTCTCTTCAGGAAGGATGTTCGCCTTCAGAAATCCAACTCAAAAAACCCCTCACCACTTAAAGAGATCCAGCCACACGAGCGCCAGCCAACACACAGTGCAAGCCATGAACTGCCACACAGACATCCCCAAGCGTAAGCAGCTACAGAAGGCAAAGTCTTTCGCCCAGCAACTGCAGTGCTGTCAGCTCAGAATCTCACCCTACAGCTTCAGCAGTTAGGTACAGCCACAAAAAACATTTACGAAAAGATTTAAGTATTGAACTGCCTGTTTCAGCCTTTTAATCAGAGCAAAGTACACTCTGTAAGCACTGCTAGACGATGTGAAGATGGCCTCCCTGCAATATGAGTTACATTAGCAAAGATGTCACCTCCAAGGGCCCTTCCGCTTCCAAACCAAATTCACTGTTGTGCAAGCAGAGCACAGAATAGAGCTGACTGACTTTAAAGCATTTTAGTGTCATATCCTACACATTTCTTACCCCCTAAGAAAACCCAGCAGGCATGCAGATTTACAAGGCTAATTCTCATTAGTATTACTGGAACTACAGCAAGATTAACAGACATTATCAGGGAAAGTATAAGCAAAACCTATGTGGTCTTTCTGAACTACAGCCAATTTTTCAGATTCATTTCTCAAGAGAGACCCTTCCACTCTGGTCCCCCAGTAATCTGCTTATTGAAGGGATCTACCATCCCCTTCCTCACCAGGACTAGAATGTGTCACTTGATAACAAGACTCAGCGCAACAACTGATCCAAGGGCACTTGCTGAGGAAAAAGCTATTTTACTAACAAATGTATTTCTCAAGTGTATAACTGCTTTGTTTCTTAGGCTGAACCTTATCTATAAAATCTACCCCACGGGTCTCTCAGCAGGTCTCGAGTGAAAGAAAGAAATGCCAAATTTATCTGTTAGCCGACTCTTCAGATAAAAGCTTTAGATTCACATTCTATCCATAGAACGTGTTCATTTACAGTTTGGAAGTTTTGGATTTTTGTTCTTATCGGTCAATATACACAGAAGTAGTAAACTGCTAGAGATCCCCACTGGTTTTTGTGGCCTGCCTTAGAACGTGACCAAATCCTCTGTTGTTCTTGCTTCTGTGCTCCCTACAGGCACCAATGCTTTGGATGAACGTACAAAAGCGTTACGGCTCTACTACAGTCGACTGATGTGAATTAACACAGAGCTCTAAGATTTATCTGTCCTCTCCACAAAAAAACCTAATGCTGAGGATTGGTCTAAATCCAAATCCAGGACACAAAGTGGGCTGAGCTTTAGAGGGGGACCAGATTAGAAAGATTAGCACAGTTAGCACAGCTTGGAATCCTTTTTACAAATTCGCATCACTTTCATTACACTAACACTTACCTAGCAAGCTTGCTGAGGCCAAGGACTTGTTTGTTAGGAAGATAGCCAATATGTACCTAGACAGAGGAGAACAAACCATTAACAGAATCAAAACCACACTTCCAAATGCCTATGAAACTCATGCATAGAGAATGAGATGTGCATTTGCCCCAGAACTAACTCTGGAACAGTCCAGAAGTCCTAGCATGTGGGAGGAACATGCCACCATGCAAGCCTGAAAAATTGTGGAGCTAACGGAGACTGTAAATGCCTGGTGAGGTCAGTGTCCTGGTGAAGAACAGGTAAGTTTTCTGAGGGGGAGAAAAATCACAACTCTTCAAGAGTCAAGGCTTATGTTCCAAGTCTCAGGAATGCTACAGAGTTTTACTACGTTTGGGTACAAAAAGCAGTCAGTTACTCAGCACAGCGCTGTTCATCTAAAATAAACATGCTTTTCTTTCAAGACCTAAAAATGGATTTAGGGAGCAGGAGGGAGAGGGACTGTACTTCCAGTGAAAGTTCTGATGGCAAGAAATACTTAGCCACCAAAATCAGGCTGCACTTGCTGATTTTTTTTTTTTCCCCTGCTTTGGTAGTACCATAGATCACTGTATAATTAAGTCAGCTTCCATCCTGCTCAAATATGGATTTGCTGAACATTCATACTGAACACGTAGTTGCACTAAGGTGGAATAAGTTCTTGAGAAGAAAAGTGCTCAGATACAAAGGAAGGGGGAAAGCCATTTAACTTCTTGTTTTTAGAAACCAACATAGGCTACTGAATTCAAGTGGGTTTACAGTTATAACAGATTATAAGCCAGTGTTTGTGTCACTATACCAGAGACTTGAAAAATTAGCCAAGATACAGTAGGGGAGTGTCAGTGTAGGATTCTGTCTCAGCGCTTTGCCTAGAGGCCCCATCTCAGAATCCTGTATTGCTGTACCTGCAATTAGAGGTACCACAGTGCACCTAATTACCTGGCTAACTTGCTCATTCCTATCACTTCTGTTGGGTAATCAACCCACTGACACCTGAAAAGACATGAAACATTTCAGATAAAGTAAGAGACATAACTTAGAAACAAGTGTTGAATCCTGTTCCCCATAGAGTATTTTTGTGAATTTCTTAATTCCATTTAAGATAGAACTGCAAATACCAGACCTACTGGTCCGTATTTGCAGCCTGTTTGATGTACCCAACAGGAGAATGGTTAGTCTGAGAATATTTAGAGGCATACCAAGTCATTTAGCAGACCATTATACGAGCAGGACCAATTCGGTGTTTGCGAGGAGATTTCTCCAAACCACACAGGCTAAACAGCTAGATGTAAAAAGAATGCATATATTGCCACAGGAGTAACGAAGAGAATATACACAGTACGTGTAACTAAGAATAACAGGCAAAATAGAAAGCTTGCACAGAAAAAGAAGTTACCTTGTTTTCCAGTATAAAATACTAGCAGTAAGAAAAGAAAGCAGATGAAATTGAGTTGACTCAACTAAATAAACGGCTGGTTTCTGTTCGGGTATTTTATTTTTGGGAGACAGTTTACCTGGAACATGTGTGGTACCGATCGAATTTTATAGACAACAAAAGCACTTGCTACTCTCTGGCCTGTGAGTACTTTATGGTAGAACAGATGGATCAGAATAAGCTCCATCCTTCTGTGCTGATATGGGAACGAAGGGGCCGAGATGTGCAGAAGGGACTATCCACTCCAAACTCTTCATCATGTTTACAGCGGTTAACTTGAGAATTTTTATTTTTCAAGTTGTTGGCATCACAATTTCAACACCATCTGAAACACCAGCCCCTTTCACGGGACTCCCAACCTAAGCAGCCTCCTGCTAGTCAGTTTTGACCACCCCCTCCCTGACTGGGCTTGCTTATTTAAGACAGGGCTGCTAATCAGAAGTTTGTTCCACTCGCAGGGGTTCCTGAGATGAATGTGCACTAGATAGCTCTGGGCCAGAAGCTAAATCCATGACAGAGCCAGCGTGCAGGGTGAGTCGGTTTAATATCAAGATGTCTGCCCTCAAGGCTTGCTGCTGCTTCACGAAGAAGAGCTTTGATATGAAATGTCAGAAACCATTAGATTACTTAGACTAGGAAACATTGAGCATTATATTTTAGGAGCTTAAATCCAAATAAAACTCACATTAAGGAGGTCTTCCTTATTTGTATTCTGAAGATTAACTTCTAGAATCATAGCCTTAAGCAGTAAATACTGATAGCTTTAAAAGCTTTGTAGTTACAACTACAAAGTCTTTTACATGTACTTTAGGTCTTTTAACATGTATTCCCACATTTGTTTTGTGAGGAAGAGTTACCTTTCCAACAAATGGAACGAGGTGATGCTCACACAATGAGAACATGTCTATGTCCTTCACAATTACCATCTCATCATGATCTTCATCAAAGATGGCGTCATTCAGAACATCTGAAATTAAACATTTGCATTAAAAAAAAAAAATATATATATATATGCACAAGCATGGAAGGTTCTTCCAGCCACTATCTGAGAAAGCTTGTAGCAAGAGCATAGCTCCTTCAGAACTACAGATTTTAGGATTAAGATATGGGAGGCAAGTAACACCACAAGTACACTTTGGTTTGCAGATGACCACACAATTGCTACAGTGCTATGTCAGACTACCTACATGCTACACCAGAAGTCAGCCTATAGTGTTTTATTTAAAGAATAGTTTGAGCCCAGGTTAGAACGAGTCTAGTCTTTGCAGAATTACTGACATCTTAAGAGCAATTAAGACTACAGCTGATAAAGCCAGTGCTGAGGAGGAGAGCACATCTCAAAGTGGGCTTCCGTTAGTGCTTCCACATACCACAAGCAAAGCTGAGCCTCAGGTTTGAGAAAAGCTAAGCCATCACAGCAGTTTCTTCAAACAGTACCACACCAGCATCACTACCTTCAAGGAGGCTTTGTACACAAATAAGATACTCTTACTTCATCCTGAAGCACACCAGCCAGCAGCTGTTTAGGCATACACAAAACTCGAAGAGACAGATCTGTATTCACAGATCGGGGGAGAGATTTGCTGTCCTGAAACCGAAAGCAGGCATGCACATGCATACTCCAGCCTAGTTCTGCATCTCAGAGTTAACAGTGAATTGAGGTGGAGAAACCCGCAAAGATAGAAGGAAGAAGAGACAGCTCAGTAAGAAAAGGAACATATAACGTGACACTTTGCTAGCCTCAGAGCTCAGCAGAACAGATCCTCAGTTGATTTTCCAGATTTAGCAGTCCCCTGACACGTCCACACGCAATCCCGATACAGGTTACAGCAGATCACTACAGTCTCCACAAAGACTGCAGGCAGCTGGACCATGCTTGCAGAGGTTAAAAGTAGAACAGCCTTTTGAAGGACAAGAGAGAAGAGCTGTATAGAAGGGGGGGGTGGAGAGAAGGAGGGGGGGAAAAGGGAGAATAGCAAGAGAGAACTAGCTGTACAGAAGGGCTGATAATCAGAACAAAGAACTCTGCAAACAGTTAGCTTGAAGCCACGCTGACTACTTGGAGTTACTTCCAGGAACCAGAGTCACATACACCATGGCCAGAAGGGGAACCAGGGTGCTCAGGGACTGCCCAGCTTCATCCATGGTGGAGCTTAGCACCTGCAGTGGCAATTACACAAATCTAATAGTCTTGTCTGCTCTACTTGCCTTTATGCCTTCCCCTGACATGCACGTACACCTAATGGCCACCATCTGTTGTCGATAACGTATTATCATCATGGAGCATTTTAATTTCCTGCTTGCTATCAGCACTACACAGGTAACCCTGGAAACTGTGCACAAGATGTTCTGCCTGCGACGCACGTTCTTTCCTGAGAAGGGCTGGCAACCTGCAAGACAGCGAGGCTGAACCTCAGAAGGTTTTTGATCAGGTCAGAGAGCAGGAGTAGGGGGCACAAAAGAGGCCAGGAAACAACTCTGTAAAAGCACCTGATTTTGTTCTTCAAACTTCAGAGTCTAGTTTATACCAAACACTGTTGGAGAGGATTTTGATTACCTGGGGAGCATCACCCAGCTGTGTAACTATGAATTCAGCCAGGAATAGCCAGAATCCAAAACAGAGCAGGCTCAGAGGAGAGGGAAGGGGAGACAGAGCAGCTGTCTGGGTTCTTAGCTCCCTCCTGCAGCACTCTGCAGACGTGCCATTTCTACAGCAGAAAGGCAAACAGTGGTTTCACAAAACCTGCTACTATGCCCATTATTAAAACAAAATCCAAACAGATTCACAAAGCATCTCCAGAGTGACTGCTGCTGTTATTAGACCACCAGCTTGGCTCATACCAGCCTTGCCAGGAGCATATCAGAGCCCGATGTTAGATATGGATTTACGTCAGCACACTTGCAAAGCAGACTGTTCAGAACAATCAAAAACGGCCACATTCTCATTAAGTCATGGTAATGTGTGATGCAGCATAAGGCCAAAGCCACAACAGAAGGTACTTCAGCCATGAAGTCTCATATATATGTACATATATATGCATATACACACTTATTCATGTATAAAATAGCTATTAACAGATCCTTACAAACTTCATCTAAGGAATCTATTACTGGAATCCTGAAGAGCCGTGTTGTATCACAGAGACAGCTGTTAGGCCTATTTTAAAGCTGGGGGAAAGAGAAGGTTGAGTGACCTGTGAAGTACCACACAGGCAACTTAAGGAACAAAACGCATCCTTCTCACAGCTAAAGCAATCAAACAGGAACACAAAGGTCATCCATCCTTCTTGCATATCCCCTCTTAGGCTACAGCCCAGAGTCACAGCAGTTTGGGCAATGCCCCCTCACAGCCAAAGGAGTCTGAGAGGTGCATAAGCAAACAGATCCGTGCATCAAGAATATAACCACAGAGCTGTGGGGTGCTTCTCATTTATACAGGTCTTGCCAATTTTGCACCTTAGGTTTATTGAATATTAGTGGCAAGTTGCAGCCAGATCACAGGTGATACCTGCTCAGACACATAACTTCTGCAGTAATGCCTGCAGCAAGGTGTGCTGATTTTAAGTCAGCACCAGTTATTCCTTGAGAAGGAGGGCCAGAGCCCGTAAAGGAAGAAACCAGCTTAGCGTTAGCCCCTCCAATAACCCCTTCACAACTGCCAGATGGTACAGGGAGACAAAGGTAAAACAAAATGTGAGACTGAAGGCCCCTACCCGAGTAAGTGGCCATGGTGTTAAGAGAGCCCCAGTCACCTCCATCCTGCTCCAGTTCCTCCTGCTCACACTTCACAAGCCTGTCCTCCTGAAAATAAGCCTAGCTTGAAGCCTGCCTATCCCTTTACTTCCCCCTTTGAAATCCAAGCCTTGTGTTGACAAAAGAAAAGTTAAGTAAAAGTAGCTGTGACAGGATGCTGTGCTATGTCCCACTGCAGCACTTGCTCTCGGTAATTACACAGGAGAGACTTGTTTGGCAGAGACTCAAACACTCTGTGCAGGGAGGCAACGCCATTTTATCTAACTTTGTCTGGTTTTTTGCCCCCCCCTTTTTTTTTTTTTGAAGTCATTCAATTTGCAACAGCATCAAACAGGGCCCTGACAAGCTCAGCCTGCAGCACATGTTCTGGAGAACTTAATAGAGCTGAAAAGACAGAAGGGAAAACAGGGCCTCAGATTAACCAGGCCAGAAGCAAAGCTGGGGAGAAATCTGTGCCTCTTTTCCCATTCTTTCATTCCACCTACCAGGGCACACTGCCTGCTTCACTAGCTTGATTTCGGTTTCCTCATTTGGAGGCCCCAAAACATTTATTCTTGCCACTCAGGGCAAGATCTGAAAGTTGTGTTGTCCCTCCCCAGGCCTGTCCTGGTTCACACAGAGCAATGTGGCTGTTACATTGGCTGCGTCTCAGCTCTGAAATACCCACCTGCCCTTCCAATGCAACTGCATCTTGTCCATCCCTTCTTCCTGCAGCACCAGGATCTTCAAAGCAAAAGCTCAGAAGTCAACAGGGCTTTCAGAGGGAAGGAGAGCTAGAAGGAAATATTGCTAGCTTGGTTTCCTGACAAAGCAAGGCACCTGCAGCTCAGATGGGCTCCTCCTCAACAGGCTACTTTTCCTTAGTACGAAAAGGAAATTCTTCCTCCCAAATGAAGCAACACTTTTACTCCCTCCAAGTACCACCTACGCAATCACCCACATCAGTAGGACAGGACTAGTGTCTCCTCTGCTAGCAAGAAGATGGGCATGTTCCTACATCGTCCCTTGGCCTCTCACAGTCATACCTCCCTCACTCTGCTTTTATTAGTCACAGCTATGCTCAAGTGCTGCCACCAAGCCCTGTCTATAAGCCAAAGGAGACTGCAAATAACACCATTTTAATTCTCCACCACCCCAGAAAAACTAAGGGAATTTACTGCTTAAGTCCTTAAGCCTAGACACATCATGTTAATGAAAAGCTAAGATTCAAATTAAAATATATGGCTGGGAGGAAGGGAACAAGCATTATATGCACAGTCGGGGCACTCTCTAGATTATTCCAGTTGATTTTTCCTTCAGCCCAGAGTTCAAGTCCTGTTGTAGAAACTTCAATGGGCTGCTAAAACTGAACAGTCACCTCTGGTGCAAGTTAACTCCTGAAACAGAGCAGAATTAATTTTCCCCTTTAGCTTCAAAAAGAGTTGATAAAAGCAAAAAATCAGAATTGGATGAAGACAGAATGAGAAAGACCTTTCAGGATTTTGCGTCAGAGCTAAGCAAAAAGACCTGTTGCTATAGAAACTATTTGCATGGCTTTAATGTGACACAGACAAGCAAAAGCACCTCCGGCAGCCAAAGAAGCTAGAGCCCACCCGGCAGCTGGCTCAGTAGGTGAAGGGAATGAAGGATGGCAGCACTCTGCAGAGCAGCACTGCATCAGCTTCACAGCACTTCAGATGTCCCATTTTTACTATGCCTGGGACAGAAGACTGAAGTGATGTAGGTTATTCTCACTATCAGTTAAAGTACTTCCCCATGGTGTTAAGTTGCCCCACTTTAGAGGAGTCAGACTGAGGATTGTTCAGTGTCAAGAGGATGAAGACAGTTTCAGAGATTCCCTGATACTGTTCCTTGAGTTCATCCATCCTGGCAGAGACATAAGGCACAAGGTTCTCCTGATACCCATTACACAGGTCCAGACTGTCCTCACTGACGGCCCCTATGCTCTCCATGGTGACCCATAAGTCGCAGCAGGCAGCTGAGGCCGTCATAGGAATGGGTTCAGGCCAAGGGATGCAGACGTCCTGTGAGGGCGGTGGGGCAAGTCACACCATACCAATGCCCGTTAGCTTGAACAAACTAAAGTACAGGCTGAGGTCAGGTACCTTCTGCTCTCCTGGGAACACAGACTGAGTTACACCAAAACCAGTGGCAGGGGACCTTGCATGAACTAGGAACAGGTCGTGGTTTGGAGGATACTCCAGAACAGCAGTGCCAT